CTTCCATGAATTAGCAAAAGTATTTAGGATGATATGTCTATTGGGATATCAGAAGGCTAATTTAGTAATTTTACCATTTGAGGTCTTATTTCGACATGTAAATATGAAAATAATATCTCACTTTAGTATATATAAAATGATAGTAATTTATATTGCTTACGAAATATATAATTAAATATAATAATTTTAAGGAATAGGGTAATATATTTATAGTTGGGTTTAGTGATCGGTTATAATATACTTTCACGGACAGATTATACTTAGTCTATTATAGACAGAGTTTTATGCGTATATAAACTATTTGATAATTAGGTGAGATATTTATAAATTTTTGATAATATATAATATGTGATCTCAGAGGAGAATAGGTTTTAGTTGTTAATTTCTGAATTTAATTTATTTTATTATAATTCATTTATTATATTATGGTATTCTAATATTAATAGGGATATAGACATATAATTAATTATTGGAGAATATAATTAGTTGAGTATATTATGACATCGTATATGAAGGAATTGATGTGTTTTTATATTCTGATCTTAATGAGAATTGATGAATAGAGTTGGTAATTTAGGGTGATATGTATAGATATGTACTAAATTGTGCTGTTGCTATGTATAGGTTAAGGATATACTAGATAGTGTGGGCGTTGCCCCTCCTAAAGATGGAGATTGTGGCGCCAATACTATACTAGGTATGGCTTTCTGTCATTTGTACGCTGTTTGGCTATCGAATTCCGGAAGGTGAGGGCATCGCCCCTTCTAAAGATGGAGATTGCGGCGACAGCACCTTGTGAGGGAGGAGTATAAATTGAACTTCCTAGTCTGGCGAACGTACCCTTTATGATTACGTCCAATGACGAAACGCGTCAAAGGGAGGTGACGTCAGACGCATACGAGAATACCAGGAAGTAGAGTGGCGGCCATCTTGGAGAGGGCAAAATCTCGGCTGTGAGTTGCGATTAGGACTCTCCTGGATTCCGGATGGCAGACAGGTCTTTATATGCTATGTGCGATTAAAGATGTTTTTAATGTAAGCAGGATAATTAAAAGCTTTTGATATGAGTATGTGGCAGTATTACGCTATGATTTGTTCCTTGTATATGGGTATCTGGCTGACGTATATGGTGGAAGCATTTCTCAGTTGCTAGGGTGAAAGGATCCATACAAAGCAAACCCTGAGGACATCTATAAAAGGATTTATATCACCAGACAAATTTTCTGTGGATTAAGATCAAAAACATAAATTGCTTTGAACATTGGTAAGGGTATTCATTCCTTACCCTGATAGAAGTGCGCACTGTGTTATGAGTTTCTAGCACAGCAGAGTGTTTCACATGCATGGTTTTGCACAGTATATCACATGTGTATGTGGTTTTGATATATACACGTGTTTTCACTTGGGTGAATATTATTGGATTGATTTTATATGTTAATTTTTATTTATAAAGGATAATGCACTATGTATATTTTTTTGTTTTTGTTTTTTTGAGGTAATCAAGGTTTTGCAAGCAGCGGAGAGTTTGTTACATTTGAATCAATTTTTGGACTACACGTATTTGTTTATTGGACTTTAATTTAAAATTGGACTTTATTTGAATAATTACAGATTTTGGATTTTTTGGAGATTATTACATAAGAAAAGTTATTTTATTGATTATCACTGAGCATATTTGTATTTATAGGATTTATATAGTGCCAACAGTTTGCGCAGCACTTTACAATATAAAGAGAGACAATACAGCGATGACACAGTTCAATACAAGATGATTAGGAGGGCTCTGTTCCTTGGAGCTTACAATCGAAGAAGGAGAAGCTGGTGGTACAAAAGTTAATACCTTTGGGGGATGAACTGATAGGAGAAATAGAAGATTCGGTTATCAGCTGAAGGCAGGATAGGCTTCCCTGAAGAGATAGGTTTTCAGAGATCGCCTAAAAGTGGGCGATAGTCGGATAGATTGGGGTAGAGCGTTCCAGAGGATGGGAGAGGCTCTGGAGTGGAGCATGGGAGGAGGAGACTAGGGAGCTAGAGAGCAGGTCGTGGGAGGAGCAGAAAGGATGGTTTGGGTGATATTTGGAGACAAGATTGGAGATGTAATTTGGGGCAGAGTTATAAATGGCTTTATATGTTATGGGTAATGTTTTTAATTTTATTCATTGGCAATGGGAAGCCAGTGGAGGGATTGGCAGAGAGGTGTGGTAGATATGGAACGGTTGGGTAAGGTAGATGAGTATGGCAGCAGCATTCATGATAGACTGAAGAGGGGGTAGCCTGCAATGAGGTAGGCCAATGAGGAATGAGTAACAAAAGTCAAGGCAAGATATAACAAAAGAGTGATTAAGTTGCTTAGTGGTTTCAGAGGTTAAGTACGAGCGTATCTTGGAGATGTTGCAGAGGTGAGGTCTACAAGAGTTGGACAGTGATTGGATTTGGGGCTGGAAGGACAGATGGGAGTCTAGGTATACACCTAGTACCCTGGCATGAGGGGAGGAACTGACGGTGGTATTATTAATTTTGATGGAGAAGTCAGGGGAGGGGGCACGGGCTGGAGGGAATAGTATGAGCTGTTTTGGAAAGATTGAGTTTGAGGAAGTGGAGTGACATCCATGCCGATATGTCACTTAGTAGGTTAGTAATGCGCAAGGAGACTGAAGGGGTGAGGAGTAGATAGATTTGTGTGTCATCAGCATAGAGATGGTACTTAAAGCCATGGGAGTTTATCAAGTGACCAAGGGAGGAGGTTTAGATGGAGAAGAGAAGGGGTCTAAGGACAGAACCTTGAGGGACCCCTACAGGAAGAGGAAGTGGAGAGGAGGAGACAGAGTTATAGGTAACACTGAAGGAGCGCTGCGATAGGTAGGAGAGCCAGGAGATAGCAGAGTCTCAGAGGCCAACAATGTGGAGTTTTATTTTTAGAAGGAGGGGATGGTCAACAGTATCAAAAGCTTCAGAGAGGTCAAGTAGTAAGACTATGGAGTAGTGGCCATTGGTTTGGGCAGTTAGTAAATCAGTTTTAGGAGGGCAGTTTCAGTGGAGTGGAGTGAGCTAAAGCCAGACTATACTATAAAGGGTTAAGATGATTGTCAGTGAGATAGGAGCTCAGGCGATTGTAGACTAAGTGTTCTAAGAGTTTGGAAGTAAACAGGAGCAGGGAGATGGGTCTTAAGTTGTTCAGATTGGTGGGGTACAGGGAGGGTTTTTTAAGTATGGAAGTGATTTGTGCATGCAGAGGGCACTATTCCTCCCACTGACACCAGCGATGGGGCACTATTCCTTCTAGTGATACCTCCCAATGATACCAACAATGGGCACTATTCCTCCCAGTAATGCCAATGCTGGGGCGCTATTCCTCCCACCGACACCAACCATAGGGCACTATTCCTCCCCAACACCAACCATGCGGCACTACTGCTCCCACTAACACCAATAACGGGGCACTATTCCTCCTAATGATACCAACCATGTGGCACTATTCCTCCCAGTAATACCAATGATGGGGCACTATCCCTCCCACTGACACCAATAATGGTCCACTATTCTGCCTACTGATACCAATCATGGGGCAGTATTTCCAGTAATACCAATGAGGGGGCACTATTCCTCCCACTGACACAATAATTGGGCACTATTCCTTATAATACCAACCATGTGGCACTATTCCTCCCAGTAACACCAATGATGGGGCACTATCCCTCCCACTGACCCCAATAATAGGGCACTATTCCTCCCAACGTCCCTAATGGTGCACTATTCCTCCACTGATGCCAACCACATGGCACTATCCCTCCCACTGACACCAATAACGGTGCACTATTCCTTCCCCTAATACAGTGATGTTTACACCCACTGATGCCAGGAAAATTCCCATCACTGCTGGCCACATTTCTAGCACTGGTTCACAACAGTGCAGCTTTAAAGCTGTGCTACTACAGGACGATTTCAAAGCCGCTGATCGGTACGACTTTAAAGTCGTTGATCAGTACGATTTCATCTACAGATGTCAATGCAGGTCCCACATGAAAACACACAAAAATAGTAATAATACTAGTAGCCTAGCTCCAAGGAGCAGGGCCCTCCTATCCCTCTTGTATTGAACTATATTGTCTCCCTTTATATTGTACAGCACTGAGCAAACTGTTGGCGCTATATAAATCCTGTATAATAATAGTTCAGGAACCTGAATGTTGATGTGATTTGAGCTGTTCCATCTCTGTAAGCAGGGGCGGGCTGACCATTTGGAAACTCAGGCACAGCCAGAAGGCCCGGGGTCAGTAGGGGGCCCCAGGAGATGCCCCTGGTACCTTTTTCATAGGCTTTTTTGAGTTTGGGCATGGATACAGGGGCCCCATGATCCCCTATTGCCTGGGGGCCCCATGAGTTGTCAGTCCGCCCCTGGCTGTAAGGGTGCGACTTTAATCTCTCAAGACGCACCCGGGGCTCAAAGACAATGAACTGGCCCTTTGTTTAGAAAGTTTGGAGACCCCCTGCTCTAGAGACTGAATCAAATCCGTTTAAATGGACCCCAGAAGGAAGAGCATGAGCCAGAGGCCCGCACGACTGACGAGCCCCAAACCCTGACCTGACCGCACCCCTGCCTAGAACCCATGAGAGCAGGCCTCTGGTCTGTAGAGGAAGGACAGACACACTGACTGCCCCGAACCCCGCAATGTCTATAACGCTGCGCACACCTCTCTGCCCATCCGGCAGCTCCCCGTTCTTATCTCGGAGCCATGTGTTCTGCTCAGCGAGCTCAGCCCCTCCTTCCCCCTCTTTGCTGTGCATTGCAGTAAACGTAGTGCGCATGCTCATTCTAGGGTCTATAAATAGCTCATGACGTCACCTAGAAATATTCCCGAAAGACACGCCCCCGGTCCTGCCCACTCATAGTGAGTCCCGGGTTGCAGTACCGTTAGGAAGCAGAACCGGGATCAGTGCGGAAAGGCTGATCGAGAGAGACGAGCAGTGCGAGCCATACCGAGACCCGCCCGGAGAACAGTATGGCGGACCGGGAGCAGCTGCTCCAGAGAGCCCGTTTGGCGGAGCAGGCGGAGAGATACGAGGACATGGCGGCAGCTATGAGAGCGGTAAGGGAGAGGAGGAGGAAGATGGCAACGTGTAGGGAATGCATGTGTCCGGGCGCCCCTCACTGCCCTGTCTTCCTGTATAGGCAGACTGGTGCACCATGCACTCCTTTCCCCATGTCTTGTACAGCACATTGCCAGGATCACAGGAGCTGCAGATACAACCCATGACACATCTATTCATCTCACTTTCTAATGACTAGTATGGATTTCTAACACACTGCATAGAAGGGAAGTCTGATCTTGCTGTAAAGAGATGCAATGAATGAACATGGCTTTCTGATGACCTGTGATCTCCATCATGATGGGCTTTGTAGATGGTACCCATCAAGCAGCAGGATGCAGAGTGTGCCCAGTGATGGGGTGGGGTACCCTGTGCCAGGCTGTGTCCCTGACCAATAGCAGCCTTTGATTCTGGCTCGAGGGTACGAGCTGCATGCGTGTCTACGCTGGTTGTGTCCCGGGAAAACACACACTCGTCTGGCCGGCTTTATATACAGGATGGAGCAGTGGGTCAAAAATGAAACCCAATCTCACAAAACAATCCAGTGTACTATGGGACATTCCAGGTGTCATCTCTGAACAAATTACAACCACAATTGAATAAAATCTCTAGATAATGTTTGCAGCTCAGCCTGTTCCATGGGTAGAGTGCAATGATGGGGTGTGGTGACCTGTGTGTAGTGTCCAGAGATAGCACGACAACCTAGTTCTGTGTATGGACCATCAATGTCTTACCATTAAAGATGTTGCCCGTTTTACCGTTTTGCTCCTGTTCCTTTTTCATACTGAAAATCATTTCTTTTGTTCTGGTGTTCCGCAGGTCACAGAACTCAATGAGCCGTTGTCTAACGAAGACCGGAACCTGCTGTCCGTAGCCTACAAGAACGTAGTTGGAGCACGAAGGTCTTCATGGCGAGTCATCAGTAGCATTGAGCAGAAGACGCTGGCTGATGGGAATGAGAAGAAGCTGGAGAAGGTGAAAGCCTACAGAGAAAAGATCGAAGCTGAACTGGAGGCTGTGTGTAATGAAGTCCTGGCGCTGCTCGACAAGTACCTCATTAAGAATTGCAATGACTTCCAGTATGAAAGCAAAGTTTTCTACCTAAAGATGAAGGGAGATTACTATCGTTACCTGTCGGAGGTAGGCTCTGGGGATAGGAAGCGAAGTGTCACGGAGGCATCTGAAGCTTCATATAAGGAGGCCTTTGAAATTAGCAAAGAGCACATGCAGCCTACTCACCCTATTCGTCTAGGCCTGGCTCTCAACTTCTCTGTCTTTTATTATGAGATACAGGGTAGCCCCGAACAAGCTTGCCTCCTCGCCAAGCAGGCCTTTGATGACGCTATCGCTGAGCTGGACACGCTAAACGAGGATTCCTACAAGGACTCCACCCTCATCATGCAGCTCCTGCGTGACAACCTGACCCTGTGGACAAGTGACCAGCCCGACGAAGAGACCGGAGAAGGCAACAATTAAAGAGGGTGTTGCGTCTTGCTACAGCCCATTACTTACCCTCTCCCCTTCACCACATGCTGACCCCCAACCCTTCCCCCACCGCTGTCCCTGACATGTCCCTGTGCTTCTCATATCCGTATCATTGGCACAACTGCTCATACTGCTGCGTGCCCGGGGAGACGGGCTCTCGCGGCGTTCTTTTGGGCATTGCTGGATTGCGTTGGCACATCAGCCGTTTCTCGGGTTGCCCTCGCGTTGTTCAGGGGATAAGGGAGGCTGCAGTTTCAGAGAGGCGCCCGCACTCTCCTCGCCGATAGGGCACTTACGGGCTGGAAAGATGCAAAGTGGTCCCGTTTTTATTTTGTAAAGAAGTCGTTTTTAGTTTCCATTTGTGCAGCATTCCCTTTGCATGTAAATGACCCCCCCCCCCCCCTTCCCCACCCCCGATCCCTTTCTTCCCACAAAGAAGGCAGCATACAGCTCCAGCTGTGGTTGGCTGCAGTTCACCTAGTGGGAAATGGGGGTCCACCTGTTTTTGTTAGCTAACAATAGACGTTTTTAAATGTGAGCTTTGTGAAGTTTCTATTTGCCCTTTTAACTTATGGTGTGATCATTCTACACCCCTTCTGAGTTTGAATGCCCTAAAAGTTCCTGTGTTGTGTTTTTTTTTTTTTGTTTTGTGTTGTTTTTTTTCATTTGTTTTTTAATCACTTAATTATTCTGGTAAAGGGCCTCATTATTTGGTTGTAAGCCTTGTGTAGGACAGTCCTTCTTAGGACTGGCTGCATCTGCACAGTGTGTATTAGCCTGTTCATGATGGATGCCAATAAAATGCCAGACACCCAATATAAATGTTTTGAAAATGCGTGGATGAAATAAATGCTGCTTTGAGGATATTATTCTTGCTTGAGCCTCTTGTCTGTTGATAAAACAAACCTAAGAAGCATTCCATATCTTCTAGGTCAGGGCTTCAGTCAGTGCACTTGCATCTTAGTAGGATCAAGAGTGAATCAATAATCTGGTACTACACACCTCTTCCCTGTGGTTTCTTGTAGTTAAGCGATTTTATTTTCTGCGAGGATGTCTATAGGTTAGTGTAGCTGCCCTATGTGCTATTAATTTTACAGGCACACCAGTGGGTGCCTTTTTACTGTATTTATTTTGTGGTATTACGAGAAATTCTTGGTAGTAACCAAAGCATTTGTTTTAGAATTGTTTGTCATAGAATTACATATATTTTTATCATTGTGTCTAAAGCGCAGCTCGACTGAAAATGCTATTTAATTCATTTTTACTATTCACAGTAAACCCACACATCCATTCATGTCATCCGTGTTTTTTTTTTTTTTTTTTTTTTTTTTTTTGAGAAATCACTTTGAAAATCACCCCCCTAGCACTTCTAGCTGCAGCCATCTTGAGTAAGGGGAGATGATTTATGTAGCAATTCCTGGAATCCATCTGCCCTTAGCTCAGGCATGCAGACAGGAGGGTGGGCTTACCTGAGAAAGTCCCTCCTGCAGATGAAAGACAAAGTCAATAAATATTCATGTGTTGTATGACATTATTTTGATCTAAGCCAGAATTCAGGAGGCAACTAAAGTAATTAGAATATACCTTCCTTTTTTTTTTTTTTTTTTATCTACTTGTTTTAACTATTTACTAGGGCTAGTGGTGCAAGGATTATAGGATAGGTTTACCTTTTGATCATGGTACATCCGTATTTAGGGTTTACCATATTGAAGCAGACCCCCACCCTCCCCTTTAGCCCCCCTTCCCTGTGATAGCAGTCAGGGGTTCCTCTCCCCTGCAGCTGCTGTCACATTCATAATCAATGTGGCTGTACAGGGCTCTGCCCATACAGCCACATCATTCATTCACAGGGGTCTGTGAATGAATGAACTAAAAGTTCCATCTACCACTGCAGTATATGGACTGTGAGCATGCTGATCGACACGATCGTAGTCCATACACATTTCCTATAGCTCGGATACTGAGGTACAGATGTATGGGCACATGGCTGGAGGAAGAGTGTGCAGGAGCCTGACATTGCAGCTGTGATCCACATATTGTAGGTGCAATGCTCTGCAGGCTCCTGTTCTGCAGCATCTCCAGTCCAGTCTGCAGTGGCGCCCTCTATGTGCAGGACAGCCAACAGCTTTAATTCCCATCACTCATAGAGTTACTATGGGGTTCAGTTGTCGGCTGCCTCTCCTACACACTGAAGCTGCTGCTGACAGCTCAGCGTGGGAGCCAACTGGAGCGGCTGCAGAACTGGTAAGTGTATAATTTTTTGTTTTTTTTCTTTACAGGGCTAGATTGGGCTTAATTTGTGACTGAGAGTAGATTTAGAGTTAGTTAGGTTTTGCCTTTACTTCCACTTTAATGTTGACTCTCGGAGAGTTTAGTTCTGCTTTAGGTGAAGAAAAGCTGACCATTCCCATTTGAGAAACAATAGCTGTTGATTAAAGCGTAAGTTCACCATTTCACAAAAAATGAAAAGGCGAACCAACACGCTGCACCCTTTCAACCCCTTGAACCTGTTGAGTGGGCAGTGAAAGCTAATCTTCCACAGAGGTAAATGCAGCAGGGACCAGAGGATTGAGAGGTTGTGTATTGGTGTGTTTTACAGGGGGGAAAAAAGTAAACTTACATTTTGAAGTCACGTGTGCTTTTAAATTAATGATACCACATCTGGTCCAGATGACAAATTCTTTACATATGCAATTTTTCAAAAATGCTTTAGCATGTATTTTATATTCTTGTTCAGACTATACATGGTCAATCTGTATGCAGTTGCTATGCAGGTTTACCTAGATAAAATGCTATGCTGCTCGTTATACATTTAGTAAAAATATTAACCGTTAAGGCACCTTTCACACGAAGGACTGACAAGCAGACCTGATCGGACGGTACGTTCACCCCTATGGACAGGCAGGTGTAAACAGGTTTGTGTCAGTTTATACCTGCCTACCTCTGATCCGGTCCACTAAAAAAAAAGCAGGGGAATCCAACCCCTTCTGTCTAGGTGGATCAGAGGGCAGATGGATGTAAATGGGCAGCAGTCAGTTTACTCTCCTCTGCCCATAGAGCAGAGTGGGCGCTCTTCATAAACTGAGCAGACATGAACCTGTCACCTACTCGCCCTGCTCTGATCAGCAGGGGATCAGTGGACAGTCCGTCCTGTGTGATGGGGCCTTATTCACTTCTGGCCTCCTTACCCGACTGTCGTCTTGGTTTAAGCTGGCCATACAGGTAAGAAATTTAGTTTGATTTTCTAATCATTAGTGGGGTCAAATCGATGTTTGTTTTCGAAGGGGCAGGAAGGAAAACTTTTCTCGATCAAACAAAGTTTCGGCCAGTATATGTAGTTATCATTCACAAATTATTCATTTTAAACTTGAATGTTAAAAGCAAAAGACAATTTTTGAATGACATTCGTCCATTCACTGAATGTTCAAAGAATTTTCGTACGACTTTTCATATGAATATTCTCATCCAAAAATCTACACGTGTATGTATGGCCAGCTTTAGATACAGAGAAGTCTGTACTATAGTTATTAGGTATGATTTATGGCTCATTCACACTACAATCCTTGCTTTCAGTTTGCAGTTCGGCATGTGTGCAGTATGTATTTGACTTTTTTTTTTTTTTTTTTTTTTCAGAATTGCATTTTTAGGGACTAGCAGTGCATTTACATGCACAAAACATGCGGCATGCTGTAACGTTTTTTTTTTTCTTTAACACACCACGATAGTATAAACCAATCTCATTGAAATACATACATTTTTTTCCTGCATATGCCTTTGTAGTGTTTTTGACTGCATCTGGTGTTAAAAAGCCCTAAAACTAGATCATCCTGAAATTACTTTTTTTTTTTTTTTTTTCCTTTTTATCTAATCAAAGCTTTATATTGTATACCATAGAATCTTATTTAAAATGCTTATTAAGGTTTCTAAAAGAGAATACTCTACAGATATCATCAGTCTTAACTGGGATACATGTTATGTAGGTGTAGCTGGTATTTCAGGTTATTACAACCTGTATAATTTTTGTAAATTGGCTAAAGATGATCTAAACCACGGGTGTCAAACTGGCAGCCCTCCAGCTGTTGCCAAACTACAAGTCCCATGAGGCATTGCAAGTTTGACAGTTACAAGCATGACTCCCAAACGCAGAGGCATGATGGGACTTGTAGTTTCACAACAGCTGGAGGGCCGCCAGTTTGACATCCCTGATCTAAACCAAGGAAATTGTGTCTTGGTTTTTAGGGATTCCATACTGGCTGCTACTAAGGAAATATACTTCCATGGCTTCTGCATAATTGGCACACATCCTGAAATGCATGCCCCTTGTACTTTGGCAGTGCAGCATTGCTGAGTGGTCCTGGATTTCTTTGGATGTGACCTGAATATTGCATACTGCAATACAGGTAATAGAAGAGATGGGGAAGGTCTATGCTAGTTTCCACAGCAACAGAATGAGATTTATAGAAGCTTCTGTTTCCATGGCAATGGGACTGGAGGGAGTGATGCTGCAGAACACATGCTTTAGTCTGAGCTGCAACTGTTACAATGTGTCTGATATCTGCACAGTACTCGCATTCTTATTCCTGGTGGTATGTTTGCCTGATTTAGCCCTCCTACAAATGTAATGTATGTGGAGCAGCTACTGATCTGCCCACATGGATTCGCTGGTAAATGATATTCCTTTTGTAACTTGCAATTACAAACGACACTCCAGCAGAAAAATTGGTTATCTCACACTGTAAATCCTTTTTGGTCCTTACTAGGAAGGATGCATTAAAGGTAGTTAAAGCTGTCACCTTGGAGACCGTGTGATGTCACCATTTTCCATGGTAACAGTTTTGTGATCA